TTTTAAAATATTTTTTAAAGATTTAATATATAGGATATGTTAATACTCCATCACATTATGTTTTATATCCCCTTTTTTTTAGTAAACTGAAAGTTTTAGTAAGCAAAAAAATCACTAAACTAAAAAGCTGACTAAACTAAAAGGTGTGGGGGGGGTTGTTTTGGGTTGGTTTTAGTTTGGTTTGTTCCTTTTATTTACTTCTCCCTTCAGCTTTTGTATATAGTTTCTTGCTTAGCCTGAATGTATTGCATGTTACTGTTGGTGGAAGTACTTGTTTAACTGGGGTTTTGCAACAAAGCAGTTTAAAGTTGAACTGCATTTAGCAACTATTCTTCAAAAGGGTAATAGCTGGTCTATCAGCCACTGCCAGGAGATGGCGCCCGTGCAAAAGAAATAACATAAAAATGCTAGTTTATTGTAATCTAATTATTTTGGAGGATGTTAACGTGTTTTGACTTTGAATCAAACTAAGAATTCATTGATGTAAAATGGTGAAATTATTTTTTTGAACACTCTTAAGGCAAATGTAAAGAAGATTGAATGATTTATTTTTCTGTTAGTTCATACAGTAAATCAGGTGCTCCTAATTGTGGGAAATTCAAAAGAAAGTTCCTCAAAATACATACTCTGTGTTGTTTATTAAAGGTAATATGTATCAGAAGCTTTGCTTATTTGTATTGAGATCACTTCTGTCAGATTCTGTATATAGATTGTTGTCCTCTGGGAATACTCTTCAAGAAGCAGTTTTGAAATGAATCCTTAAGTAATAATTCCTGTCTTCCTTCTGGGGAGTGTAGGAAACAGAAAGAGAGCAGCTGAGGAGGGTAGAACTGTTGTTATAAACTACTGCAAGTGTCTGTCTGAAGTTTTTGTTCTGATTGCATGTAGCGACAGGACAAGGGGTAATGGATTTAAACTGGAAGAGGGCAGATTTAGACTAGATATTAGGAAGAAATTCTTTCCTGTGAGGGTGGTGAGGCACTGGAACAGGTTGCCCAGGGAAGTTGTGGATGCCCCATCCCTGGAGGTGTTCAAGGCCAGGCTGGATGAGGCTTTGAGCAACCTGGTCTAGTGGAGGGTGTCCCTGCCCATGGCAGGGGGGTTGGAATTTGATGATCTTTAAGGTCCTTTCCAACCCAAATCATTCTATGATTAGGTTTTATATTTTCCTTTCTCTATTGTAATTCTTTGAGTTTGTTGATTCACTTAAATTAAAAATGCATTCTCTCAGATCATCCTTGTGATTCCAGGAGATGTGAAGTGTTTAACATGCATCCAGATTTCAACCTGGAAATTTGGGCTTGGGTTTCCACAGAACAAAGTACTTGTCGAGTGCCAGAGATAACAGAAAGTCTCTGGTGTTTCATTCTTTTGGATTTTATATGAAACATGGTTATGTTGAGATAATGAGCATCAGTATTAAAGGCTAGAAGACATCAAGGAAATTTGAGTATGTTATCACCAAGTAACACGCACACCTGTTTGATTTTACTTTGTTAAGTAAAAATGTTTTGGGTGATCTAACAGTAATTTCTTATGGACTTGCTTGTATTTTTATCTGTATGTGTTAATCTATGCGTTAATCTGAGTCAGATTAACTATCATTAACTATGTGTTAATAAGTCCTCCAAATATACGTGTTAGTCTTTGTTTAGCCTTTTTCACTTTTACTGGTTGTATAGTCTTTAATCTGTTTTAAGACACTAAGTTTTATTTACAAGGGTTTTTTTTTTTTCTTTTTCTTTTTGGGATACCTGGGTGATAACAATTTAGCTGCGCAGCGCAAAAAGATTGCCTTTTTGAGAAGCAAAATCAAGGATAAAGAGAAGTCTCCTAAGTCTCCATCGAATCATCAGTCTCTCTCTAATCGACTCCGGTTCTGGTCTTCTTCCGACATCCCATCCTCTCCTAATGAACTTCTTTCTTTCCCAGAATTGGGATATTTCTAACACCTTCTCTTTAGCATTTATCTTCATTTATTTCTGACAAATATCTTAAATTAAAAAAAAATAAAATATCCCACCTGCCTTAAAAGAAGCACACACCTTGATAGAAACACTCAGCATGTCTTTACAATACTCTAAATACAAGCACAGATTAGTGAACATGGACTTAAGTTTTCCTGTAGAAGATGAATCGCTGTTGCACACTGTGGATCATTTCTTCAATGCAGCACATTTTTAGGGGACCTCATGGCATACAGTTTGCGTATGTATATTGGCTGTGGTGCATGTTATAAGTAAGTGAAGTTGCTATGCGCTTCGATATTTTCCTGCAATCACATACTTCCATCGTGTGCAGTTAAAGTGTTGAACTGATTTGCTGTTGCTATGCTTTCTACGATGTTGTAGTCCTACTAAAATACTAATCTAATATATAAGCAGTCTCAAATCCTGGAAATTTTTCCAATATTCTGTGCCATTAAACACTAAAAATGTCAGGTTTTTTAGCATCTTTGCTTTTAAATAGTGCAGCTTTGAATACAGAGTGGAAGCTACTGGGAAAATTATTCTCTGCAAAGTCTCTTGACGTTTGCATTCAAGCCTGCTTTTTAGCAAGGTTTCACACTTCCAGCTATGAAAATTCATCTTGAGTTGAGCTAACGTTTCCGTTTCTGCTGCTTCAGTTTTGACAATTTTTTTTATTTTAAAGAAGAAAGTAGATTTGTCCTTTTAAGATTAGAAATAACCTTCATCATGGATGCATTGCCCAGAATTCTTATTGACTGATAGTCATGACCTGGTGGCTTCTGAAGTGAATGTGTGAGTCCAGTCCCCACTCTGTGCTAGAGAAACGTATGCAGCACAGGCAATATGCTACGTGGAGCTCAGCAAAGAGGCCAAAAGATCTCGTCTCCCTTCTCAGTCTGAGAGTGGTCCCTCCGTGGCACAACCAAGGACACTGGCACAGCAGCCTGTTGCTGCCCATTTTGAGATTTGTAGAGAAGGTTTGTCTCCAGGGCAATTAATAATTCTGACATCTGTGGAAGGTGTTAAGTGCATCTACAAAGTCAATTAGAAATACAGATTTGCATGGCAAGCTTTAGCTAGTAATTGCTCCTACAGGTATGCCGTAAACTTCACTTCTGAGAGGAGGTGCCAGCCCTGTGCCCATGCAGACAGGGAGAAAACATTGTTTCTGAAATCAGCTTCCAGGAGTCATCGAAGATGACAGTAACTTGGTCCATTTCTCTAGTAACAGCTTTGGTGCTGCTCTGTGCTTTGAACTAACTGTCTGTCCATTGTCTGTGCAAGTTGCTTATTTTGACCACTGTACGCTGCTGCGTTTTCAGCATTTAGTTACTATTAGTTAAGCAAGTACTCCATGGAAATACATAGAAAACTAGAGTCTTGCATCTCGTTAAGGTGTTTCCTATAGTAAATTATTCAAATTTTATTCTATTTTATGTGTGCCTTAAAGCTTTACATTCACATGACAAGAAGTGAATTAACCTACCTCATCACTAGGAAAGATGTCTTCAGCCTTCTGAATCTAAATAGTACTCTAGCAGGTAGTTTTTGTTCTCATGCTAAGATCCCAGGAGTTCCACTTAAAAATCATTGCACCTGAGCATCGTAAGAGCAGCAGAGTTTGAACCTTGTAAAGAATGAGCTCTTACCACAGCAAAGATCTAAACCTGAAAGCAATTAGCTTAGCGTGTAGATCATGCTAGATAATTTCCAAATCACCGTTATTCCTCTTTTAATAAAGAATGTGACATCTGTCACTCTTCCCTTATTCTATTTTATTACTGAAGTAAATGCTTATGAAATGTACCTGCAACGAATAATGTTATGGGAATTTCACACCTTGCATCTTTTCTGTATTCATGTCTTTACTCCTGTTCTTCCTCCTTTCACAGTAATTGTTGCATGTATAATATCAGCCCTCCCACTGGCACTGAGCAGCCCTTGTTACTCCCACACTTTACAGAGAGCACACATGATTGAACAACTGGTGACAGAAATTTTCTATCCAGTACTGAAAGTGTTTATGGAAAAGCTTGCAAAACTAGTGCCTCTGTTGTGCAGTTTCTTTGTGCCTGCTTGTCATGTTTGTATGGGCCGATAAATACAAATCTCCTAATGCTATTTTTCATTGACTTGTATTTATTTACTTCTCTCCCCCTCAGTGCTGATGGACCTAAAGCAAAAGAGGAATTCCCATCATGGGGGCAGCAATGATAATGTTGACATCTCAGCAGACTCTGCAACAAAACACTGCTGTGTGGAGCTGGGTCCCAGGACTTACTCGACCTCAGCTATTCATCTGCATACTTCCACCCCCATCTCCAGGCTCCAGAGCAGACCAAAAGGTGTGCAGTGCATTTGATATACCAGCTGTTGGTACAAGTCAGGCTGCTTCATAGCTCCTGCTTACGTGAAACATGGCTTCTAGTGACATTCAACTACAAAACCAGAGCCCTAGTATTTTTACTCCTGCTTTATCTGCTTGATGAATTAATTGATCACATACAGGGTTTCCTTACTCTTGTAATGTCATCAACTTGGCAGAGCACATTTGGATGTCAATTCTCCTGTGGTTCCCTGTCCAGTGGTTAGAAGGTGGCTGCTCTTCCAATGCTGGCTCTATAAACCCTCCTGATCACCTCAGTCTTCTACACTTCTAGAATGCATTGGAGACTGACCTGAAGGGATTAACCTTCCTGTGTTTAATATTGCCTTTTAAGTTTTGTGTTCTTTTCAGGCTATAATTCAGAAGATAATCTATGTGAACAGTCCCCTGAGGTGGAGTTTGCAGGCACCAGACAGCACGGTAAGGTTGTAGCGTATACGAATGCTCTAAACCTCTACATTAAGACTTGTTTCATTGCATCCATGTGAACTAACCCGGAGCATTTTAGTTAAATTAACATGGTAGAATGAGAGGTAGTAATGCAACACCATTTGGGGAATGTGGGTCTAAGTACTTTTATTTTTCTATTGAGAAGCTTTTAATGGATGTTTTCCCAAAATACATTTTTGAAAACAACGCTGACATTGAGATGAGTTGCCTTGACCTAGCAACAGACCCTTTAATGCATGTCCTGCAGATTTGTTGCTGATTTTTCTGGACAATGTTCAATTCCTTCCTCGAGGGAGTGAATCAGCAATAAAAAAAAATTAGGGGTGGGGGGGTGTGGATGCACAGCGGGAACTGCCTGCTTGGAGATTTGTGGAAGACTTAATTTGCAGGCTGGTTACCAGCTCCTTGCGAAGAAACAAACTGAGAAAGACAGAGCAGCTTATTGTTGAACTTCTTCAGTGTTTACATTACTTTTTTTATGGTTGCTGTAAAAGCAAAACCCAGAGCATATTTCTATGTGTGAAGAATAGGTAAGAAAAACAAGATGTACCCTGAACAACTGAACTTGAAAAATAAAAATGGTTTCCACGCTGTCCAGAATTTGGCACCCTGTGTATATTATATTGTTAATGTTTTCAAAGCGACTTAGTTGCACAGGTCCTATTTTCAGAAGGCGGAGTGTAGCCAAGTCTTTTAGAGAATCAGAGGAACTTGAGATCTGTTTGTTCAATGTTTGTTTTGTGTTTTTCAGTGTCCAGGCCAAACAGTTTAGAGAGCAGTAGAAACGTTTCCAGCAGTAGTTCACCTCTCAGTTTGAAAGGTAAAGCTTGTACAGCTGAGTTATAACAAACAGGAAGTGAAATTCTATGAAACTGTGTGCAAAATGCCATTTCCCTTCCAATTAAATTTGAAGACTTGTTTTGAAATTGCAATGATTGTGCAATCTGGACATGGCTGTCTTGGGAATCAAAGCTGGCAAGAAGTATTTTTCTAAGATTGATTCTGGCAAGGGGTGGCTTTTAAGGCAGGCAGTCTAGTTTTGCTTCAGTCTGACTGGCATCGTGTTGCGGGAAGTATCAGGCCACTCTTAGACTCCTTTTACAACAACAGGTCTCTGCTGTTCTTACTCTGTACACAGCTTGTGTATAGAATCAGTGTGCTGTGGAGATTTGCTTTTGCTGAAATTGTGCATCCTTGTGGGATGCCAGGAGACCTGACACTGTGGAAAAACCCATTTTCTGCTTTCCCACTGGCATGTTCTGGCTCTCGAATCACGCACAGCCAAGACTGGGAGATTAGTGGCAGAGAGGTGGTAGAAAGGCCCCCTTACTCTCTGTGTTATTCCTGTTGGTTGGACAAATAGTTGTGCTTGTTTAACACAGAGGCTTAAAGTATGTACTGTAAGACATTTACTGGTTCTGATTTTTCAGTTGTGACTCCCTTGAGTTCTGTGGGAGAATAAAATCAGGTCAAAAGTGCCACCTGGTCTGTGGATGAATGAGTTCCTACCTCAGTGAGAAATCTACTGAAATGAGGAAAGAACAGTGTTTTTAATGATATTTATGCTTCTCCTCAGGTTCCTTAGATCATATCCATGGGAGAACTGAGAGCCTCAGCAGTGAAGATATGGTGCCAAGCAGAGAGGCACCAGCCTTGCTCCGAGATACCTATCCCTTTCACTCTGCTTCTGCCATCTCAAGCCCCAGCACCAGGCATGAGTCCGCCTCCAACAGGAGTGGTTTGATCTCTTATGATACACCTCAGAAGAATGCTCCATCCCAATCTTACACAGGCAGGCAACGGTCTGCCTCACCTGGCAGTGAGATGGTAACTTTGGAAGAGTTCTTGGAAGAGAGCAACAGGCTGTCTCCACCAAGTGTAAGTAAACAGAGCTAGATAGCCCATCTCAAATGTCAAAAAAAAAAAAAGTTCAAAGCTGATTAAGGGGGTGAGGGCATAGGGAAACAAGGAAAGACAAGAAGATCCATGTTCATATGCATGGAACTTGCAGAGAACTATCCAGTCTTGCAAAATGAATGAAACAGTTCCAACAACTAAGGCAAGATTAACTTTCAGATAGCACTCTGCTAATTTATTTTGGGGTATCAGCTATGGCAAGTCAGGCAGATAATTCACTGCAAGTACTATGTATCAGACAGCTAGGACTTTTTAATATCAAATGCTTGTGGTCAAGGTTTTGTATTGTATCATCACTTCTTAGCTCCAGATATTTCTATTTGTGAACTGATAAGTTTTCTGTGTAATTTTGAGCTGCTAAATCTGTAATTGGAAATGAAACCCAACAGTCGTTTTGAACTGAAGTGCAAAATATGCAGTTGTTAAAACCATCTCCTAATGTGAAAATACCATCAGTGCATTTGAGGGAAAATATTTTTCTTGCTGAAGGAAGTTCTCGATGCTTTCCTCATGCTGTGTGTTTGTGTGCTGACTGGCACTGTGCTGTTGGTTCAGTGACTGCAAGAATATGTCACACGCTGAAGTGCTTTGTCAGAAATTATGTTTTTCTAGATGGTATTTGTCTTTTACTGCTCAGACATACTGTTCAGTAGTGATGCGGTGCAGTATTGAGCATGTTAATATCTTAAGAACATTGATAGTGTGAGTGAACGGGTGTTTGTTTCATGAATTCCTTAGTAACAGTATTGAAATCAACAGAGCTGTACCATTTTATGGCATCAGTAAATTCTGGTCCTTGAATTTTCAGAGCAATATTTAAATATACTTTCTATTCCCTTATTATCCTAAATACAATTCTTAGCTTTTAGAGATATTTAAGATTAGATGTTTTGTTTGTCTGTAACTACTTGATCATGTCTCCATTTTCATTTTTCCTATCATCCTTGTTCCTTTTCAGCGTCGGCGCAGTTTAGATGAGAGTGAAATGATTTCATTGCACCAATTTCTGTTAGAAGCTGATGCACTGTATCCCTCTTGCTACTCCCTATGTCCTTCCCTCCGTCAGGAACCTTCGCAGTCACTCGAATCGGTCCTCAGTCATTCATGTCCTGACAGCATGAGGCACAGAACAGGCAGGGGAAACAGGAGATCTACTTCACTGTATATCCCCAGGGTATCCATTGTTCTTGCTATGAAGGCAACAGCTCCCAACTTACCACAGCTTTTGCTAACATATTAATACCTTATAGAAGCATACTGTAACTCTTAGCTGTTATTTTAAAGGCTGAGAGATCACTTGCATTAATTGCTTATCAAGTATGTCCAGTGCTTGTTCATAAACATGAGTGGTTTTGCGGAACTAGTCATTCTGTAACGTTAATGTACGTAACAGCAGCTTAAAGTGAAGTTAAAAATAACCCTAACACTTCAACATTTAGTTGAATTTAGAAATCTTCCAGCTGCAGTATTACCATTTCACTTCTAGCAAACTAGTTTTGTGACTGGAAGAAACCTTTGGAGCATTAGTGAAATGAATATATTAAGCTTTAGCATACTCCCTAGAGAAAGAAGAGTAAAGAAATAAATTCCATGAGCTTGTTTCAGCACGTTTTTTGTGAAGACAGCATGTTGTTTAACTATTCTGAGTATGCCTTGTACTAATAGTCCAATGGCAGCTGATCAAACCTCACATTTTTGGATTGCATGAACCATCCCCATGAAGTATTCATTATATATTTTCTTTTACTGCCAGGTTAATTGTCTGACATGAAATTTGCAAGTTACTTGTGGGCAAGAAATCATATCTCCATTTTTGTAATGATTTTTTTGTACACTTAATTATATTGTACACGTAGCTTTTAACATATGTAGTATATTGACTGGGAGAGGTGAGAGGAATCAATGGAGAAGCAATGAAGCTTCCTTGTAATGCTAGCGCATCTCCTCAGGGTATGCTCTCCTGTTACATACCTGAAGTTACAGTAGAGTGTTATCCAGATGTACTGTATTCTGGAAGATGACAGACCATCGTTGATATCTGCTGATACCAGTGGCTGATGTCAATAATATGATATTGATGTTACAGTGACAGTGTCTGATGTGGAAGGAAGTAAAAGAGCTGCTGCTCAGGTTGCAAGTAAAATGAAGCGTTTAATATTTATGGCAATTAATCTGGCAAACAAGTCTGTCATGGTCTAACTATGATGAGCATGTTACTTCTTGATTTGGATTTTTACCCATTGTAAATATTTATATTTTCTGTTCCCCACTTTAAATATAAAATCTATGGTTGTGTTTGGGTTGAATTAAAGTGGGAAGGAAGATTATCTGAACACAAAGCTCTGCATGATTCTTTCAACAAGTATGATGTCATTAATGTGGTATGTGCATATTTTCTCACACCAGGACACCTCCAGTAACAGAGATTACTTGCTCAGCGATTATTTCAGGAAAGCAAATGAGCCTTCAGCTACTGGGAACCTGCTGGTTCAGCCATCCAGAAAGGAGGCTGCTAAGATGCCCACTAGTCTTGTTGCTCCGACTGTAAAGATGACCATTGCCAACGAAGAAGGAAGAATGGCTGAGCCTGGAAAGCCAAACCTCAGACAAGTCGAACCTGAGCCTTGGGCAAACTCCCAGGGGTCCCTTAAGCTTCCTCACACACCACAGCACCAGCCCGGCAGTGAGATGCGGCAGATGGCACAGCCTCAGCAGCCTGGAACCACGAGCAGGAGGAGTACGTCACTGAGCAGGGCGTTCAGCTTAGCCTCTGCAGACCTCCTCAGAGCCACCGGCCCGGAGGCATACAGGCAGGAGAGCCCTCAGAAGTCAGCAGCAGACCTGCGTGGGGGCAGGGACACTGCCAGTCGGACTGCTAGGGCTTCTGCTCCAGCAAGCTCCCAGGTGACCTTAAGAGAGAGACCACAATCTGCAAAAGTGGCAGGTTCCTTGCAAGGCGTTGATTGCCGCTGTCGGCAGCTTGACGCGAGGCACCTTTCCCTGGCCCCACCAAAGGATGAGAGGCCACTCTCCTTCCGTCAGTTCTCTGCCTCGCCCACTGCATCCACCAGCAATCTGAATGTGCAGCAGCAGGAGCGCGTGAACCCTGGGCAACACTACTCACCTGTATCGCATGCTCCCTCCAAAGTCAAACCCAAGCCAGCCCCTCGTACCAGCGAGGTGGCCGCAGTGGCCCCTGCCAGAGGTGTTTCCAGCAGCACTGAGGGAAATACTTCCCTAGGGCAAGGCCAGGGTGATGCCCTCCTTACCAAGTGCCAGGGTAAGCTGCCAGAAGGCAGCACTGGGGCTACGGAGGAGCCCACAAGAGGATGCAGCTCCAGCAGCACTCCTGGGTCTGCAGACCCCCAGGGGGATCAGCAGACAGTTTGGTATGAGTATGGGTGTGTGTAACCCATGGGTGCAGCCCATATTATGTGTGTTTGGTATTGCTGACATCCAGGTAGCATTTGTCTAGACACTGTGCCAGGTCTTAAAAGGCATCACCTGCATGCTGCTCTGAGTGTTTTCCAGGTGCTGTTCTCTAGTTGGACAAAGTATGATTAAGAGAAACAAGGAGCAAAACCCCAGCCCTTCTTTTGACACTGTTGTGCCTAAAACAAAGTGGAAGCCTGACCAAATCTCACAGCAGGCTTGACACTTGATTCTCACAGGTGCTGAGCATTCCTCACTCCAGGAGAAGCTTAGCAAGGTCCTCTGTTATGGCTGCACTGTGCACCCCTTCTACCTGCATTAAAGAAGAGTTTCACAGCTCACGTGTGTGTGCTGAACCCAGCCCCACCACTACTAAATAACCATACTGAAAAGGTAATATAAAAGCTGCACTTCTCCCCCAAAGACAGAACCAGATTTCAGCTTAAGTAGCTTAAAGATAAAGGTGAAGAGCAAAAGTGTGTGGCTTTAGCCATGGATCTGTTCAGTTCTTCTTGCCACAGCCCTGTTTTATAGAGGTAATGTGTAGACTTCAAGGGTCACATTTCAACCTTCCCCACTGGGACTGTGTAAGCACAGAGAGGCCGGTGTGATTACCCCATTGCCTTCACTACAGCTGCAGCTCAGCGGATCCTTGATGCTGCAAGCCAAGTGGTGCTGCCTTTTGAACCTTGTTTTATCTTCTATACAAACACTGGAACTCTCCCTTTCGGGGGAGAAGCCATTTCAATTGCTAAGGTGGCATCTCATGTACAAAAGTGTCTTGTAAGTATGTACATAAGTTCAAGTATTGTATAGGAATGCTGTGTAAATTGTATTATGACATCCTTGGGTGCATGACAGCTCACATCACAAGCAATATGTGGGATTTTGTCTCTTAAAAATCCTTGTGTATGTCTCCAAGAACTTTGGTCAGTATAGAAAGCAAAATAATTTTGTATACATGTGAAAGAAATATACTTTTAAAAATCTATTTATGTGCAAAGTTCCTTGTATGTTTCTGTCCAGAGTGTCATCAGCTGCTTATATATATATGATCAGATGTGTATCTTTAATTCTATTTCATGTTTGTAAAGCTGTTTTTTCTTGCAATAGACTAAATCCTTAAAAAAAAAAAAGTTGTTTTCCTGGTTCTGATTTAATCTAGTAAAGGCTAAAACTGATTCATCTGAGGATGTTTTTGTTATCTAGTATGTAGTAATCCCATTTTGGAAACTATAAAATTGTTTATAATAAAGATTAAACTAAAATAGATGGATGTTGTACTTCTTTTTTCTTGGGCAAGGAAACCAGCCATGATTCATGGTGCTGGATGAAGATCTGTCATGATCTGTGTGACAGAGTTGCATCTGTTTTTTACAATGTTGCCACAAAAGATGAATTAAATCTTTCAGTTCGATTGTAACCTTCTTAGGGTAGACTTTAGGAGAATTGCTCACGCAAATCAAGTGACTTCCAGGTCACTGTGGAATCAGACCATTAGATTTTTATGCTTTGCTGACCACCTCAGACAGTGCCAAGCGTACTGTCAATTTTGACCAAGCTTGCATGTTGTACAATGTGCTTAACTCTCAGGATGCTGCACAAAAGTGAGAAATTGCTCATCTTTGAACATGAAAAGAATGGCAAAAGGAACTTCTTGCCTTCTCTGCTGTTTTAATTGCAAACCACAGTTTTGCAACAATTTTAAAATTACATGCTATACAGCAATTTTTAAACATACTGGTTTTGGTAAACAAATTCTTCTTCTAGAAATTACCTCTTAACATTAATTCTTGTCCAGATCACTAAAGGTTTCTCCCTTGTTTCAGCTCCTTGTTGTAGGCATGTGCTTGGTTGCCCTGCAGGCTGGACTGCTGAGGAATTGATCTGGGAGTTGACAGTTACTGTAGATGTGCTTTTGCTATAAATACCTGCCCAGTCACTTATACCTTAGTTGCCGTGTTCTGAGTTATTTACAATTATTTACTTTCTCAGTTCTACTGAGTTTGGATAAAAATGTACATAATACTTACATGGTACCTTTCAAGTACAGGATTATTTTAAATATGGGCGTTGTAATTTGGAACAACTGGTGAAGCACCTGATACTGTGGTGCTTGGGTCTTCCTGAGAGCATTAAGGAAAATTTTGGTATAGGTGCCTGTCCTGCTGCAGCAGGTGCAGTCATTTTGCAGTCTGATCAATCACGTAATTGTTTCCAAGTGCTCTTTGATAGATGCAGTGGCTCCCAGGTCAGTGTGCTCCTGCTGCCCTGTGCTGCACCATCAGGTAAGGAACAGCGTGGGTGGGCGAACAAGGTCTGCCTGCAGCTACGGTGCTGCTGCTTTCTGCCATTCTGGGGGGTCCAGAGCAGTCGTCAGGAGGATAAATGCGTGTTTTGGTGTGTTAAAGCTAGCACGAGAGACAAGTCATTTGTGTTTGGAGGGAGAGAGAGAGTAATCAGCGAATCCTCCCAGCTTTGTGCCAGCGGGGCTGGGCAGGCAGTGCTGCTGGGAGGTGCCAGCCTGTGGGAGTTGTCGGGAGCTTCTAGGAGAGGTTTTTCTGTGAGGGAAAAGTGGAGGGGGTAGAGCTGCCAGACCACTTCTGGCTTCTCAAAATTCCTTCCAAGAAGAAAAGGAGGGCTGTGATGATGAAATAGCGGCTGCTTCACTTTGCACAACTTTGAAGTCTAGTGAGGCCTGCTGTGTGTGGGCGGGCGGCCAGGCCTGGCTGTTGGGAGCGGCAGCAGCCATGCGCCAGCACCTGTCGAGTTCTGGGAAAAAGGGACCTTCAGCTCCTGGGCTTTTCCCAGCTCTGCGTGGCAAAGGGCTGGAGGATGCTGATGTTTCCTGACATGGGAGGAAGTGTGTGCTCCCTGAGATTGCTAATTATGTGTGTTAAATAATGCTGTGCATAGGTCTGGATGTAATGCTTCATGTAACATTCTGTAATGGAGTGCCTCAGTTTGTATACGTGGCTCATTATTCCTCTAGATAATTTTTTCCTTTCAAGGACAGCTTTTTGAAGGGGATCCCATCCCAAGGAGGCAGCTAGGTAGCCAGTGGGTTTCAGAGAAAGATGAGGGGCTGTGCCTATGGCAGCACCCGCTCCCTGCAGCGTGCTCAAACTCAAAGCTGGTGAAGCTGTTTAACATGAACAAATTTTGCCTAAAATTGCATGCACTGAATGACAGTGGTGTTTGCTTGAAGTAAGAGAAAGGGCTGCTGTGGAAATTGCGTCTAGGGAGTTGCGAGCTCTGCAGGGACAGAGTATCTCTTTACCAAGAAATCCGAAGCCCAGGTCCTTTACAGAGACACCTTGTCCTGGAAACCTTTTTCCTATTAGATATTCTTCAGCTGTTCCTCAAACTTGGGAGCTGATCGTGAAGCAAATAGACCTTTCCTGATTTCAGTTAATGAAGGTCAGAACATAAAATCTCCAAAAGCAGAATTAAAAAAATAGAATCTACTTTTTTTTTTTTTTTTTCTGTAATGAGGGAAGTTCTAAGTGTAAGTCCATTGTAAAAATGGCTAGTACTTAGCTTAGAAAAATGGCACACCAAAGTACACCGTGTGGTTGGAAATTATTTCTGATCATCCAGATGTTTGGGGACATATTAGAAGTTCAGACAAAGGTAAATGACTTTAAGACAGAACATAGAAGAAATGCTCCAGAAATGGTTAGTTGGTTAGTTCATGTGAAGCAACTACAACCTGGATGTTAAATGGATATAGAGGTTTGCAATTTTTTGTTGTTGTTGTTAAACAGGAACCCAGCTGGGCTTGAAAGCATTTGAATTGTGGTTTTGCATTTTTAGATGAAACGGGGGAAAAATTAGTTGCGGTAAGCTTCAGCAAAAAGAATTCGTAATAACAATTGCTTCTCTGCCTATCAGAGTTGTGGAGTGTCGGATCCGGGCAGCACTGGAGATGTTCAAGGCAAGGTAGAAAACTTGAGAGTGTTTTTACAAACACCAGTACCAGACAGAATTGACCTGACCTAGCAGAGCAGAGTGAAATAGGTCAGTTACTAAAAATGGCAAATGAAGTTATTGTTATGAAGGGTTTCTAGGCTGGAGAAATAGACTGGACCATGAAGGTCTATCTTCAAAGCTGGTACTAGAGGCTGCCATAAGAACTAAGAGAATAGGACCAGCTGGAAAGTGGTGAAAAAAAATACGATTCAAGAGAGTATTGTCAGGAATTTAAGGTGACTGGGAGAAGCTATGGCAAGTTTTGCAAAACTAGATGCTGTTTTTCCAGTCACAAGGCTTTCTTGAAGAGTATGAACAGAACAGTAGGCAGCAGAGGGCTACTTTTTAAAAGCTTCTCAAACGGGAAAGCCCGTCCAAATGTGGGTTGATGAAGTGGGACATAAAGTTGAGGCAGACTGCCTGTCCTTACTCCTAGGAAGGCACAGGTTATTGACTGCTGGGGGCTTGGGGGAGGTGGTGGTGGTGGTGAGGGAACAAAATTGGTTTTTACTGAGAACAGGACAATGAAAATGTGGTTATTCCACAGAAACCAGAAACCTAAAACATATCCAAAACAAAACACAGAATGCCATGGAAACTAATGTCAGCTTTCTGTCATTCCCAGATGCTGTTCTGATCAGCAGCTCTAGTTAAAATACTTGCATGTGTTTAACCAAAGATTGTAATAACTGAGGACTGTGCAGCTCTGATGGTGAGGCTATGCTGAAGTACGTAATGTGTGTGTTGCATACCACAATGAGGAAGAGTAATAGATCTAAGCATTGGCATTAGCCTGTGAAAAGCATGTATTGCACAAAGGCAAAACAGAAGGACCCCAGCTCCCACTTTTGTGAGGGACACCCTATGGTGTGATCTGAAAGTCGTGCTAAAGGGCAGAGTGGTTAGGAAGGGAAAAAATGAGGCTATTGGTGAGACTCATTGTACCAGGCTCTTACAGAATCAAATAGATTAATATAAGATCATAGTGTTTTAATGCTTTTGATTTA